GCGCTGTAATTTTCACGTAGTTGGAAATAACGGTTCGGCTTAATAACAAAACTTAATTAATAATAAAGTTTATTGAGGACATTGTTTGCTAGTTGATTGACTTAAAGTTCCTAGTTTCTGGTGAAACTCAATAAACTGATATCTGGCTGTCAGTATTTCATTCGTGTTTGTTAGTTAAACCTAAATTATTAAGTCACATCAACTGAGAGTAAGGTAAATTTGCGAAAGAACGAAAAAGTATCCATGTATCTTACAGGAAAAAAGTTCGTGAATCCCCCAACTTTACTTATCATTTTACTTGTCTTTGTTGTCTTTTTCGCAAAACTGAAGGTCTTTGCAGGGTAATCGAAAATTGTATGATGCATGAATATTTGGGTGGAAAAACAGTGAACTACAAATTATTTTCTGCGACAGCCTTGAATAGAAAGACATTCCTAAAGACGGCTATAAAAAGAGATGCGAATTGTTTGAAGATTTCCAACGCTGTTTCTGGTTGGACTTCTGATTGAGCAATCGGAAGATATTAACTGAATAATTCACGCGCACTCTTCATAAGACATTAGTCGCTCATTATAAGTGTCTCTTTTACTGAACTCATCCTTGTAGATACGGCTAATTATTCACTGGCACAAAATGAAAACAATTGAATCGAGACAGTTGCGATATGGTGACAACTTCCATGCAGCAGAAACGATGAATGCTTTACCATGAAAATTTCACATGTAGTGAAATATGACGTCAAGTGAAGCCTGGACGGGGCTCTTCATCCGATAAAATCAAAATTCAATTTCTAATAACACATAATTCTTCAGATAAATAAATGGGTTAGTTTCCAAAGAAACTGGTGTTGCGTCGGTGGGAGATCATAACAGGGTAATTTGGTGTTAACAACTGAGTTGATAACGTGAATTGGCCACCGTAAAAAGTTAAAAAGCTGACGTTTCGAGCGTTAATCCTTCGTCAGAGCGAGTGGATGAACTGTGGGTTGTGTGTTTTTATATGCAGAAAATTGAGCTACGCTATTGGTGGGAATATGGTGATAAGAAGACAAGAATAAATTAGTTGAATGAAAGGCGCTCGTTGATACCGTGGGGATTAAGAGTTTTGCAGCTTTCTGAACTCAGCCTAGATGTATGGAAAGGCTCCAAACTGCCATATGCTGCTTAGAATGATTAGGGGGATTAAAGTGTGACTGGTTTGAATACGTCCTTGTCATTTCTTTAAATTTCTGTTCCAAATGTATTGAAATGAATGCGATCTATTTCGACGTTTTGAAACTTTGTTTTTAAAAAACCAGCCACTGCAAAACCTATGTTAATCAGCGCTTGTATTGATCATTTCCATGCGGTTTTCCTATTCCGGTTACAGGCCCCCTCGGACATAAGCCCCTCCGTCTCTAAACCCCGGCTTCTAAAACCCCTTACGAAGTTGTACAAGCCTCGGGGCTTATAAGCAGCAGTTTACGGTAAAGGGCAATTAACTTCCTGATTTATTCAGACAGAACGCCATTAATACGCATTAAGTATAATCAAGTTTCACCAACCCACAAGATCCCAGAGGAACTAATTAATTCAGCTATGACAACTACTGACAACCACATAAATAAACAAAGAAGGTGCCCCAATTGAACGCAGATTAAAATTCAGCTCTCTTTGTTGCCTGATTTTGCCCTCAAAAGTGTGAAACTTACAGTAGCTATTCGCTGGGATTATAACGGCTGTTTTTTTTCGAACAACATGTTCACTGTATTCAACTACTTTATTCTCGCCGTTTTGTTTTCCCTAATACCAGAAGGACGAGGTGAGATTTTCCTACAGTTATATCCTAGTTATGTCTGAGTAATATTTCAAAGTTTACCAAGGTGATACATTACTTTTTGGTCATCTTTATTGACATAACCAAGACTTAAAATATTCGCACAAGTTTCTCGGCTTCCTCAGGAATTGAATATAGCATATTATTTCATTTAAATACATAGTTACCTGGATTGGTATACGATAACCTACGTATTTAGAAAGAAGTTTGTACATTTTTGGAGTTATTTAGTAACACAGATTTTGGATAGAACAAGTTTACAAACGAATCAAATTTTATGAAACGTTTTTTTGGAGTGAGCAAAAGCGAAAGTTTACTTCAGAAATACAAAAATACAGTCACTTTCTCTACCGAGAAGTTGGTGAACGTGTGCGAATTTTTTGACATGTTCGATTATACGCGATGGATGGGTTTGACTACTGACATATGCTCGTTTTTATTTAAAGTTGAGAGTCTACTAAATCGGCGCGACTTGTTTTAATGAAAAGTTTACACACCATTGAGACTTTTCAACTCTTGTAATGAAATCTTGTTATTCGTCATAACGAGACAAAGTATGCTGTTTTCTCAAAATTTACATGAAAATTAAAAAAAAAAAAAAAAAAAACCAACAGGTCTGGCTTTTTTGTACAATTTGGCTCTTGAGTTGATCTAAAGGTTGGTTCACAAAATCTGCACGGAGGACTAAAATTTGTGTATTCTTGAGAGTTGGTCGAACTAAGGCATAAGTTATTAATGATCCACCGCTGAAACGATGTTCTAACCAAACAGGTGATTCCGATAGAAAAATTTGTTCAATAGATTGTTCTCAGTCTTGGTTCATCAAAACGAAGATTGTTGACTTTCGGTCCTATAGGCAACATGATAAATCTTTTAGTTAACAAATACTGCTTTTAAGTTCTTCTAGTGAACGAAAAAAATGACAGAGACTACATTTGACATTTTAAGATTTGTCGTACCTGTTATACTCAATTACCTCCTTATGATATGCATGCTTGAGGCTAACTTTCTGCGTGTAGCCTCCTGGTGAGTGTTGACACTGGATACAAAACTCATTTTCATTTTATATTTAGAGGTAAAAAGTAAGAACTACATAGAGCTTTCTAACTTAATAGATTTTTCTCTCCAGGTAACTGCCGCAATTTAAAGTTTACCAATTTTCATAAATCTGACTACCGGTTGGAGAATCACACGGTTCGAACTATTGAAGTTGCCGACGAGGGTCTCTGCATGTTACAATGCTACCTGGAACCTAACTGCGTTAGTTATAACTTCTGTAAGATAAAACAGGCGTCTGGAAAACACAAGTGTGATCTGAATAGTGCGACTATTGAACACGATGAAGACCTGGTTAAATACGAAAGTTGTATTTACCGCCAAGCTGAGGTGAGAATGAAGTTACTAAGCCAAGAGCGTGATATTCTCCGCTCAGTTCGTTACAAGACTAAGAATCCTTTGAGCTCTTACTCCACTCATCTTTTGATTTCTTCCTCCAACCGCCCAAATTAAGGGTATAATAATTGCATGATTAAAATGTTGAAATAAAGAATTGGAAGAAGAATATATTTTATTAAAATTCAAAATGACCTCCTCTAGAGCTATTTTGATAAATTTTGAAGATTCACGCAGATTTTTCACTCGCTCTGAACATGGAACGAGAACAACATGACCTGTGTTCAACGCGAACATTTGTGTGAATAACCAACAAGCTTGCGTGGAAAACAGCCACGTGATGAGTAACAAAAGTACACGCAAGGAATATGATGGAAACACGTAGATTTGACAAACTTGCATAGCATTCAGAACTCGCAAACACGAATGCACGCGCAGGACATCAATATCCATGCTAACTCGCAGAAGATAAAGACGAATATTAACAAACACCGGTTCTCTTTCTTCTCAAGAATGCTTGCGCCAAAAATTCTTGCAAGAATAATGCAACATGCCAGGCTGGGTTTACAGACAGAGATTATCAGTGTTTGTGTGCTCTTGGATCTGGATTTGAAGGTCATAACTGTGATAAGGGTAAGGAATCCGCTACAGTTTTTTTCAAGTTGAACAGAAGATAAATGCGTGACCAATTTCCTTCGCTAAAAACGTTTGCTTCAGGCTAAGAGTAACCGATGCATTTCATGATTCTAATAAATTGCTTAAATTACTTTGGTAGTGTCGGAAGAAAATATTACTATTTTAACTCTTTATTTCCTGGCAGAGATCATTTGGTAAAGTACTTTCACAAATATAACACACACTTAAATAGGAAGGTAATGAGAATCTAGCAAATTATTAAGCAGAGAATTGAATGTAAGACCAAATTCATAGAACTAACCAACAGAGAATCGTTTTATCATCTGTTAAGACCATTAACTTTTACATTTTGGCTGTCAAAGGGTTGCCCTACTCACTGATAATCTTTTTTCAACTCCTAGTGTGAAATGGAGTGAAAAAGACCTTCCACGAACGACTACCTAGCCCTTTAGGACGACCAGTTTGTTTGTCACTCTTAATTTAACTCTTTATGACGGCCACCTGTCTTACGCTACCGGCCAAAGTGGCGCGTTTTTAACACAACCACAAAATATTTGAGCATCAGAGCGATATAAAATGAATCACATTTTACTCACGCTCGCTTTGCTGTCCTAGATATAGACGAGTGTACCAATGGAACGCACAAATGTGATATGAATGCTGACTGTCACAACACCCCGGGATCTTACAAATGTACTTGTAAAGACGGATTTCAAGGAAACGGTACAGACTGTACTCAGAGTAAGTATTTGTCATTCTTTCCATGTCTGGCTTTTAGTATTTATTTATTTATTTTTCTATTTACTTTGTAAGATCAAAATTTTTGGTTTTTGTGGTGTTGTGTCGGTGGGGGGGGGGGGGGGGGGGGGGGTGGTGTGTAATAAGAAAATTTGAGTTATCAACTGACTTGATGATATAAATTGATCACTAAAAAGAGTTTCTTGAGCGTTAGCCCTTCGTCATAGCGAATGGAGGAATTGTGGGTTGTATGTGTGTGTGTGTTGATATGCAGAAAATTAGCTGCACTACCAGTAAGAACATGGTTAAGAGAGCAACAAGAAAAGCGATTCGTTGATACCGTGGGGATTAATAATGTCGCTGAATTGAAAGATAAATTTTTGTTCTAGACTTTTGTAGCTTTCTGAACCGCCTAGATGTAAGATAAGGCCACAGACTGCCATATGCTGCTTAGAATGATTTGGGAGATTGAAGTGTCAAGCAACTAGTTGGGATGCTTCGTTTTCATTCCTTTCTACGTAATGAGGGTATTCTCGAATCGCTTCCGATACACAGGGTCATCCTTAACCCCAAGGAGCGTTCTTTATGTTTTCCATTCTTTCCAAATTTCGAAAAAAGCGCCGCACGGTAATCGAGCACAATCACGGCTTATTCGTCCACCTCTGACTCTTACAATTTAGCTTTCACTGGTTCGTATGTGATGTAGTCATTAGTGGAAACTGAAAAAATAAAAACCTTAGTATTCTTGCAGGAATCAAGACATTTTGAAGATCTCTTTGACTCTGTTACTAGAATTTCATTGATACCTTTTTTTTCTTTTTCTAATCCCGCATAATTTGCAGAGAAACTTTTTCAAGCATAGTGGTTGGCAATATTCAGAATACTAAAGAACACGGTGACATTTTCATACTCGTGCGATAATTTTCAGTATTATTCGGTTCATTTCACAGGATTTAATACAGCTGTGTTTACAAATCTTGGTAAGAGCGACTCTCAGGGTCCAGACTCAGTTGGCAGTCACTACACAGGTCAGGATCATAACGGACAAGTTACAGTGTCCAGCGGTATTCAGCTGTGGAATGTGCCACACACAGGGGAATACAGAATAGAAGCAGTAGGAGCCTCAGGGGGGTACGGCCAGAACAGTGTCATCAACGGAGGGAGAGGGGCGCGGATGATTGGAAACTTTATGTTGACCAAAGATGAGATCATTAGTATACTCGTTGGTCAAAAAGGAATCAGAGGGGGTGTCAACAAAAACACTGGGGGAGGTGGTGGAGGTTCATTTGTAGTGAGAGGAAACAACATTCCCTTGATCATAGCTGGAGGTGGAGGGGGAATTAAAAATATGTCAGAACAACATCCAGGATGTGATGCATCCATAAACACAACAGGGAACGCAGGGAGCAACTCACCATTGGGATCAGGAGGAAGCAACGGACATGGAGGAAATGCCAATGGTCAATCTCCAGGTATGCAGAGAAATTAGACAAACCCATCAGTATGAACAATTCATTAGGACAGTAAAACAATTGTAAAATTAATCAGAACCCTAATTAATGGAATAATTAATTCTAACTTGGAAGTTTTTCTTTTCTTCTTAATAACATCTCTGGAGGGGCATCCAGTAATATCTTCAATGTAAACGAATCTCGCTCGTTCAGTTTTCAAACCTCCTGCACATTATTAACTGTTCACTATCGAACTGTGATTTTGTGAAGCTAACCAGGCTTCTCATGCGCTGATTGCATAGCTGGATAAAAGAAAAGCGCTGAATTTTTAACGTTGACTTGTCGTCATAACCCTTTTTATAATTGACAAGATCTAATAATGTTTTCAAAGTAAACTTCCGACTTTAAATTATGAAGTATACTTGGTTGGAAAAAAATTGCGAATTATTGTCTAATCGCTTTTCAGTTAATGATTAAAAAGTTGCTTTACATAAGAGAACACTGATCATTTTTTTACATTACTGAAGGTGGTGGTGGCGGCGGCTTTTACGGTAATGGACAAGGTGCTTCGAGCGGTTCTGGTCGAGGAGGTAAAGGATATCTCCAGGGAGGAAGGGGTGGACATGCCAGGGGTGGGTTCGGAGGTGGTGGTGGTTTTCGTTCAGGCAACCGTGGAGCTGGAGGAGGTGGAGGTTACTCTGGGGGAAATGGTGCAGCTGATGAACAGTTTTCCTGTGGGGGAGGAGGTGGATCTTTTAACAATGGAACAAATCAGCAAAATGAATGTTGTTTAAATAGCAATAAGCATGGCAGAGTGATCATCACGTTTCTTCAGTGAAATGGAAATAGCAGCACTTTCCTTAACATATAGTGGACATTATTGTGGGTGAGCGCCATTTTAGCCGCAAGTAACTTTCGCTTTTTATTATGAATTGACATAGTCTCAGTACAGCTTTCAAGATTTTTATTCCTTAGCAGGAAATTAGGACTAGTATACAAGTATCTTTATAAAGAAACTGTTAAGTCAGTTATTTATTTTCTTTTGTATTTAGTTTATTACATATATTTAATAATGGTTTTCAGCTGACTGTGAAATCGATTTTCAATTTTCATGATATATGACCAGTTTGAGTCATCTGAATTTTCCCAGATTGTATTTTGTCGCATAAAACAGATTACACTTTTGCTTCCATTAGCACCGGGGACAAATTCTCCTCCAAAAGGATGTTTAAATTTGTGATACGTATGGTGTCTTTTGGTTAGTGTCAACAGAAATATTTTGGTTTTGGTTTTACGCTTCGTAGTCAATTGAAAAGCGTTCGGCTTCACCTCAAGCGGTATTCTGCGAAATAAAAAACTCCGGGAGCATTGATATCAACTTTTTGATGTGGCCGTTGTTAGTGTTGTGTTCCCAGATGTTGATTTATGCAGTTTTTAAAACAAATCACTTCGGATCTGGTACCTTCTTCATTACGCAGAGGACAAGAACGGTTATATTTACCAAGGTGATGGCAAGTTGACGCAAAACCTTATCTTTATTTCTGTCAACATCTGGCCTAATAACTTTACAGCAGGCCATCGTCCTCTTTCACTTAAAGTGGAAGAGGACGACATGATTTAAATACAAAAATAACTTTAATAAATGTTTCATAACAACTAAAACACAAATATCTTGGAAATGTTCATCGCCACTAAAAACAGAAAAACTTATGGCGGCCTTTACCCAGATCAGCATAGTTTCAACCTTCAACTCTGTTTGTCAGCGATAAACAACATTAAGAATGGACGGTAAGCCTCGTTAATATTCTATTTTCAATAGGATTGTTTCAGTTCTCTGATTTGCTCTGGAAAATGTGGATACGCGATATGTACATTGTTCATTCTAATTGTATTTCATAACTTTTAATACTGAGATATTCTAAAATCTTGAATTTGCGCACTGACTTGTAGGAAACAACTAGGAATGAACGCATAGAAAATAGACTAAATGAACATGTTTACATGACCGGTTTGCCTCTAGTCAATTTGGTAACTCTGTGAATTGATTTGAAGCCATTAAACGCCTCAGATTTTTTTTTGTTTCCTTGCCATCAGTGTGAATCAAAAGGCAGGATAGATGACTTAGTCGGCCGATAGTTCGCACTCAAAGCCCCATGGACTCGTAAAAATAATTTTCCACTATCCTGATAACTTTACTAATTCAAAAACATTGGCACACCTATTCACTAGTAAGTCACTCACTATTGTTATTTCAAACTATTATTTCTATCCATGTCAGGACATGAAGTATCACTATACCTTGGCTAATGTTATATCAAATATTTTCCCTTTAAATGTAAAATAATACACAGTGAAATGTATTATCGTTTAATACAGTGGGTCCTGTTAAATAATTCTAATAACTGAACGAATGTGAAAACAGGAGAATAAAAGGGGGGAAGTTTCTGAAAAAAACTGTGGTGCAGTGTTGGTGGGAGGGTATAACAAGGTAATTTGGTATTATCGGCTGAGTTGAATAACGTAAATTGGCCACCGTAAAGAGTTTTAAAGCTAACGTTTCGAGCGTTAGCCCTTCATCATAGCGAAACATATGAAAACAGATGCTGGAAGCCATAGTTTTTGGGTGTGATAAACTGAAACAGCACCATATTTTTCCCAAAGATTTGGCTGCAGCATCTACGTGTCCTTTCCCTTTTTTTAGCACCCTCTCGTGAGGCAACTGAACTCCCAGAATTGTGTTCAATAGGTTCCCTTAGGGTCGATTCTCTTCAATTAGCGTCACGCAAGAAATAAGATCAAGAAAGCAGGAGTCGCACACTTCGTGCCTTTTCGGAGGGAAAAATGCTCTTTTTATGATTATTTACAACACAGGCATTGGTACACAGCTTCTTTCAAACGTTTTCGAGGGGATCAATGTACTTTTATTTCTCCGAGTCTCTTCTTTACCTAAAGTTTGTAGTAAACACCTATCGGTATTTCAAACACAAAATTTCTCGTTGTACACCCGTACTGCACACCTTACAAACTGACACGTCAAACACACCGTCCATTAAAACTAACTTCTCAAAACTCCTTGTCCCTCCACCGACACCAAAATAATATGTTTTGGCTGCTACATAGGCAAGGCCGTCAGGTTTCTTTAGGTGTCTCTTAATGAACTGGTACAACTTGTCATGTGATTCCACAGCGTAAATTGTCTCAGCAGTTAGGATAACATCATATAGCATCTCCGAGGCTAGTTCTGGGTTAATGAAACCTAACAAATTTCCCCAGTCACCTGAATAAAAACGGCAACTTCGACGCGCTGTTTCGAGGAGGTCGAAATTAGTTGCTGTTGCTTTCAATTCACAGCGTTCACTTTTCAGTCGCTGCTGAAGATTCAGCAATACATTAGGAATCGTCACATGCTCAATAACATCGTCGTTGTAGTCTTGAAAATGAACTTGAGCTCCTTGCAGAAGAGCATATATTCCCGGTAGCCCTGCTCCACATCCAACTTCCAATACTCGCTTTCCTTGAAAACTGATTCCGCTTTCCAACAAATACTCCACCAAATCAACACTACATTCCCAAATTTTAAGCCCTCCTTCGTAAACCGAAGGAATCAGGTCCGAGCTCCTTTCAGTCGCCGTTTTTATAACTGCACTATTCGTTAGATTTTCATCCACACTTGTCTCGCTCAAGTGTTTAAGGCTAAAGGTACCACCTCTAAGGCAAATTTCGTCCATTGCAGAATCCGAATACGCTGGAGTACTGGACGCTATTTGAATTTCTTTTGCTTCATAAGCAGTTTTGAGTTCTGGTGAAACGTCCTCACCTTCTCCAGACGCAGAAACAGTCGCATTTTCGTCAATATCTGCGGATCCAAAATTAAATTTGAAGTCCGCCATGATGCATAGACCTTAGTAACCACTCCTTCTGAGGAAGGCCTGGTGTTTATGACTGGGGAAACTGATTTCCACGTTTTTCATGTGTACATATCTAGTCCTTACATTGATCGGGGGTTACTTTCCTCCACTCAAACTTCAAGCATCTTGAGAGACGCCTCACGATGAATCCCAGTCAGAGTGGTATAATTGTTTTTTCACTTAACTCTAACAAAGACTTGTCTGAGAAAATCGCCAGGTAAGCTTAAGGAATTATCAAATATTTCTTTTCTTTGCTTGTTTTGTTTATCCTTTCAGTGACAATCTGATATTTTTTGGTAGCTTTGAGATACATCCAGCGGAATATTCAAATTTTAAGGTTTATCTGAAGCTGTGTTCACTATTTTGTTTTTCTCAGGAAATTGGGAATTGAGTTGGCCGCGTGCAGTGTTGGGAAATTTCAGAATCAAGGTGATTGACATCCCAATTATCTCAAATATTGGTCACTCCTTGAAAACAACTTAGCAACAAAATTTTGCTGGAGTCATTTTTAACAACACTTTCCAATTGAACCACTCTTTAAAGTAAAATACTTGCCAATAGTTGGCAAATGTTTGTTTCCCCACAAACTGACATCATGGTATTGCTCACTTGTCGATGCTGTAGGAACTGCAGAATTTGGTGACATTCTCCCTAGGCTTGATCGTTTAGGCTACCGCTACAAATCAACATATTTAGATCAAATAAATTCTCTGCAAAGAAACTTCTAATCTGTGTTTGGTGCTGCTCTCCAGTTGATGTCCTAAAACTCAGTCCATTTGGTTTCTTTTACTGGTCAAGACACAAGTTACTGGGTTTTTGGTGTTGACATATTCCCCTAAAATTAAACCAACATCCAAACACATAAACAATCCATTTTTAAATTTGCTGATACATTTTGAAATTTGCTGGCACACTTAAGATGAAAACATGCATTGAATCACTACAAAACAAACAATGGGCCAAATTTTCAATATACAAAATTCTCTGTCAGTTATTGAATTGGTCCTTACCGACAGAGGAAATCTTTCAGGTACATGGCCAAAATCAGCCTGTGACAAATCTTCCAGTTGTAGATTTTTGTTCTCAGCTGTGAGAAATGCCATTACCAAAGCCACTGAACACATAACTTTTGGTTTTTCTTTTGTATTTTGGTTTTCCTCCCCTTCTAGGAAAGTTTCAACATCACTGTCTGTAAGCAATAAGGAACTTTTAAGTGTGTTAGCAGCCATAATCCAAAAAAATTTCAACAAACGATCTTGGACTGAGAATGGTTAAGGCTTTGCTGTTCATTCATCAACTTGACCAAGTGACAGGAAAGGGCAAGTGATGTGTTAACAGCTGATTTGTCATATCAAACACACGTAAAATGATATTGTATTTTTTCACATGTGTTGTCACAGCTTCTTTCAGGGCTGGAAATCCTGGTATACACTGTAGTTTATATGATAAACTAAATTTTTTTTGCTTGTTTTAAACTTCTTTTGTAGAAACTTCCGTTAAGATAGGAATCTCAGTTCGTGGTAAAGATGTGTACATTATACAGTCAGGATTGGGGTAAGAATATTTAACAATTGGTTCATACATCAGCATGCGTTCATCAAGATATGAA